CCTCATGGTTACCGGGGTTTGTGGGATCATCATATTTTGTGCATTTGTGTGGCTTTTCAAGTACAGAAGACTCATGCCTCTATAAGGAAATAAAAAACAAAGCGATTTTTCAATCATTATGGGTTATCGGTTGTGTACCCTGTATATATGGAACGAGAGAAAACCAAGAAGATGGCTCTCTTTTTGGAGCCAATTCTTTTGTCGCAGTCCCACATGTTTTAACTGCCAAATCTCTTCGGCTACAGGAAATAGGGGAATGACACTTTTGTGTTTTTTTTTTTTTCAATTTTTTTTTCTTTCCAAACACAAGCAAATGTATTTGCAAGCAAGAGATATCCCTCCCGTGAATTGTAATGGTAAGCATAACTAGTTTTATTGAATTTTTCATTCTTCTGTTGTGAAAAATACACCATAGGCAACTGGAGAGAAAAGACAATCGCAAGATTTGGTTGCAGGCTGTAGCAGGATGTGAACGTGTTGGAGCTGCTTTTAGAACTGGTTTGCCTTTGTAGAGTAAGGTAGGATTAGGCGTCAATAGAATTGAATCCAGCTTAATAAGGAGTTTTACTCGGTTCATGTAGTCATTTTTTAGAGGCAATTTTAATAAGTTTGAGATACAAATTTTCTGTAATGTTCTCTCTCTCTAATCTCAAGCTGTGATTTTATTTTTGTACCAAAAGAGAATTGAGTCCACCTTGATAGCTTCGGATCCAACAGATGAGTTCAACCGAAAACAAAAGATCTTACTTAATTGAACGAAAATTTGCTTCAAAATTAGAGGCAACAGGGCCAATTTCATAGTCCGAGATGAATAGCCTCAACTATATGAAAACGGTGAAGTCGGCTTAATTTAACCATCCAGTACCTTTATTCTAAAATCTTTAGACAATGAAAACAGTCTTCAGTTTATTTGGCCACTATTTCTTGGCCTAGTGGCCAAACAAACCTTAAGAAAACACCGAAATTGAGGTTCAACCCCAATCTTTCCCCTCTCCTTGTTATAGGGTTCTGCCCTCTTATCAAACAAAAAAAAAAAAAGAAAACAAAAAATAAAAGCTGACTGATGCATCAAAGTTGTTTTTAACAAATCTTAAATGGTCAAGTGAGGCTTTGTGTTACTGACAGGATAAAGATTTAGGAATTTTACAATTTATGTTCAAATCTCACCGTCACTTTGTTTGGATTAGATTTAGGCTTCATCTATTTGGGAAAAATGATTTTTGAAAAATAATTTTTATATATTCATATATTTATTTGATGGAAAACTGGTTGATTAACAAAAAATAATTTATTGTTTAACAAAAAATAGAGTTATTTTTTTAAAATTGTTTTATGAATTTAAAAAAGATAATATAATTTTTGAAAAAAAGTTATCTAGAACTATTTATCAATTTTTTATTATAATTTTACTTATAAATAATATTATATTTATTAATAAATAATATAAAGAATAACAAATAGTTTTATTTTAAGTATTTTTATATTAACATAATATTTTTAATATTAAATATTATTATTAAAATATAATTATTTTTTAATATTAATAATTTTAATAATAAATAATTTTAATATACTTTAATAGTAAATAATTTTTAATAGTTTAATAATTATATTAATATTATTTAAAATAAAATCATATTTTCTAAAAAATAACCAAATAACGAAAAATATTTTTCATTTAACTCATCCAAATAATAAAAAATCTCTTTCAATTTTTGAAAATATATAATTTTTCAAAAATTATTTTTTAAAAACCATTTTTTTAAAAGCAAATGAAATTAAGTTAAATTTATGCTATATGTTTCTTTGTTGATTGATTTATCTGATTGATTAATTTATTGGATTTTGAAAAAAATTAATATTTGAATATAATTTTTATTGGTAATTTAATAAAAGAACTAAGATTAACAAAAATAAAAGTTGATTTCTATCCAATACAAAGAATTTGGGAAAATGATCAAATACACTACTGTATTAAAATAGGGCTCCATAATTTATCATTTTTATTTTTTTATACAATTTTATCATCTTATTACATTTTTTATGCAATTCTAGTCACCTAAGAATAATAATAAAATATTCCATTTAAACTAAAGAATATTCCTGACCAAAAAAATAATAATAATAAAGAATATTCATTAAGAATTTCAATTATTTTTTTATTTTTATTATATGAAAAAGTAAAACATAATAAAAATTAAAAAATAATTTACATCAAATTCTAAGTAAGAATAATACTAGTAATTAAATAAGATACTTCAAAATTCGATGTGAGAAGACACTTTCCTGAATGAGTAGTATGCTTCATACAGTTGATGTCCTTACCATTACTACTTTTGGTTTCCTTTTTTTTTTTTCTTTTACTATACATTTTTATGTCTTATACTGTCATTTGCTTTACCAAACAATCCCATCACCATGTTTTTCTTTGCTAATTGGTTCCTGAATTATTTTTGGTCTAAAAATGACAAGAAAACATGAATTCATCACCACCCACCACCGCCGCTATTCCATGCTAGCTGTTGTTATTATCTAAACTTTGCCTCCGTTGTTAGTGCCTCCGGTGGTTACTTATCAGCCAAGAAAATTTTTAACTTCAAAGCATTTCTGCTCTGTTGCTACAAGTAACAGGCGTAACAGGCATCGAATTAATTTTTGTTTCTGTCCCTTGTGTATGGTGCACTTTTTTAATTGCTGGTATTTTTTAAAAAAAATTAATTATTTTTATTTTTATTTAATTATTGATATTATTCTTACTTTAAATTTGATATAAAAGTTTTTTTTTACTTTGTCATAAAATAAAATTTTAATAAATAATTGAAATTTTTAATGGAATATTTTTTAGTTTAGATGAAATATTTTATTTTTATCCATTAGAATTGCATAAAAAAAATTGGATGATGAAATTGCATAAAAAAAAAAAAAAAAGGAGTGATAAGTATGGAATTCCCAATTTAATACAGTGATAAATTTGATCATTTAAAAAAAAAGGTAGGGTTTCCAATCAGGTTAGAATGTTGGTTGGTTGGACTATCGTTGGTGGCAGACAATGAAAACGAGGTCGGGTGGTGGCAAAGGACAGTTGAATTTGGGTTATGTAGGCTGGATGTCAGAGTCGGGTTTGAAAGACCAAAAAAAAAAAAAAGAAAAAAGCAATAATTATTTAACGTGGCATTTACAGGAAAACGACATGAGCAGTTCACGTCGTTAAAAAATTATCATGTCAATAACTTATTGATGGTTTTATGAGGTTAAATTTTGGATTAATTTTTATAATTCGAAAATAAAGAGATTAAATTTTAAATTTTATATAAATACAAAAATTAATCTCATAATTTGACCTTTTTTTTTTTCATTTACCTAATTCCTTAGCTTATGACAAGTTAAGTTGTATTTTCATTTGTATGTAGAACGAATTTTGTTAGGCACAAAGGATATTTTATTGTGGTTTAATTTCAACCATTTATGATGGTTTATATATATATATAATCTAAACAAATATATGATGGTTGGACAAAAGAGAAAGGTAGAGAAAAACGAAGAAAGAGGAAATATATATATATATATATATATATATTAAAAGATTGAAAAAAATAAAGAACAATGAAAGAGAAAAAAGTTTTTTGTATATATTTTATAAAATATTGTAATTTGAATTAAATAAAATTAATATTTTAAAAATATTTTTTTGTTAATAAATATGGACTTATAACATTAAAATTAAATAGTTTTTTAAAAATAAATTGATAGGACACATTTCCTCTTACATGAGTGTGTAACATATCAGATACTTGTTCTCAATTGACACTTTTAAAAGTCCGACTTAAGAGAATTTTGAGGCAGTGATCTTGATCTTGATCGTGAGCTCACCGTAAGCAACCTCCGCGTATATAGAATGTTCACATTTCTCTCTTTTCATTCCGTTTGATATGCATGAGAAGTTGTGACAGAGCTGAGATAAAATAGAAGAGCTGGATATGTTATCGGAAGCTTACTTTGTTTCCATTGATAGCATCCTTAGTAGCTTGATAGCGGTGTGAAGAGATCATCTTCCTCTGGGTTTTCCCTTCACTGCTGCTATAGAGATGTAATCGATTTAATTGAATCCAATAGAGTCAATATATTCTTAAATTCAAGCTTGACTCAATTTAAAATTTGAATTCAAAATTCGATTTAATTTTATTTTTGTATACTCAAATTTGACTTATAATTTTAATTAAATCATTCAAATTTAGTTTAATAAGTTCAATTAAATTTGGTAAATTATAAATATTAAAATTTAAAAATTATTTTTTATCATTTACTTATATATTAAAAATAAAAGCTTGATTAAATTCGATTAAATTCGTAAGTTTTTAAGTGAAGTATTAAACTATTCAAATTTTGTTCGACTTGTTAGTCAAATAATTAGAATTAAAACTTGATTCGACAATGAATAAATTGAGTTTAATTTTTTTCTCAAATCAAACTTAAATAAGTCATTGAGTATCTTAATTCATTTCCATTCCTAGCTGGTACTGTTGATCTAGGCTTTAAGATAGATAAAATAGATAGAGAAATTATTATTTCTAATGTTCCTTTTGATGTCTTTGAATTAACATGTTTGGATTAAAAAGAGGGAATAAGGAAAGCAGTAAAAAAAAAAAAAAAAGCCATTCTCTTGATTAGGAAAATTTAAAATTTAATAAAGGAAAGTGAGGGGAAATTAAGCATCCGTCAAAGTTTCGAACTTAATAGACAAACTTTGGGTTTGCAGAATAATGATCAAAACCAGCTGTTCCAAGTCGAGCTGCTACTCAGAACGGTAATGTTTATTGTTCCCATTTTTGGTATAGTGGTCGGAATATTTGGTATGAACTTTCAGATACCATTGGTTGATCACCCTGGTGCATTTAAGTGGGTCCTTAATAATTACTAGTCTTGGTAGGATTATCATTTTTTGTGCGTTTGTTTGTTTATTATTATTATTTTTTTTTTCGCAAATGAGTGGCTATTGTGGCATTGTGGAAAAGGGGGAAACCATTAGTTTACTCCAACGGATGGTTGGTATAATTGGTGCAAATGACAAAAAGGTGTGCTTCTCTCTTTGCTGTCTTAATTCATTTTTATTATTTGAATTCAAATCTGCTAAGAGACTGTGAAATGATAGAGAGGAGATGCATTAAACAAAGCCTAAAATCCCACTGCTGCTAAATAAAAAAAAAAAGCATTAATTTTCTATCACTGCTGTTATCATTTATGTACTTGGATATGGCATTGCTAGCAACTGGCTTATGAACCTGATAATCAGCGCAAACGGCCTTGAAAGCAAAAACCATCTAATGAGTTAAAATCAATATTCTCTGCAAATCCCTCAAAACTATGGGAAAACAATGTTGAATATTATCACATAGAACTAATAGAATCAAATAGAATAATTAGCATCGGACCCAAGAATTGAGAAGTTCAAATAAAAGGGTTAAAAGAATAGGGATTGATAGAAGGCAAGGCAAGTCCATAGCTAGCATTCACTATAAATAACCACAAAAAAGTTCAAGGAAAAGAAGGGGACGGGGGATACTTAATAATATAATGCTAAATCAATCTTAAGTTTGCTTTATAATTTATTAACAGAGAAGATAATTTGGTGAAAGAAACACCAGGGGCAAATTTTTGATTTAAAATCAAAATTATAATCACAAATATGAAACAAATGTTGACCTTGAAGGTGAGCATTTTATGACTACTTTCACAAATCAAAGACTGCATCTAGTAAGTATATTATTGCTTGGCCACTTTCCTTTTTCAGCATTCCAGGTATTATAGTTTTAGGGAATGAAGGACATAAAAAACAGAGTACCATGCAGCAAGAGCTTCTATGCTGACTATCAAAAAGTTGCTCAAGGAAACCCTTTAACTTGATCAAAGAACTCAACTATTATTTAGCAGAAGAAAGTCGTTGACTCCGTGCTTTGTCAGCTTTTTCCAAATAATCTTGGTGTGACTGATGCTTCGCTCCTACAAGGAATCAGATATTTGTTAGATTAATTTCAAGTGATCAACCTACCAACAAAAAAACTGTAATGAAATGAAGAAGCAGCCGCTAATCTGCAAATGCAGCTATTAGACTAAATGCTGAGAATGCAACACAATACCAATTATAGTGTCAAAGACATTTCAAATTTACCCAGAAATGCAAATAAAGCGAAATCAGAATGGTTTATGTAACAGTCGGACCCCTTTCATTGGGTTAATATACAATGTTTAAAGGCAATATGCAGTTAGAGAGCAATTAACTAGCAAGTGGCATTTTGTGCGGACAGCAGCCAACAGTTTCATAAGCATCATCTTTTTTTCCCGGAAGGGGGAATGGTTCCAAATTGTCAAGCAGCCATGGAATTCCTAACTCTTTTTTGCCTAAATTTAGAAATTTAAACTTTTCTATTGTGAGTTACGGGCATGTTACGTTCGAGGGAAAAATTGCAATTTACACAATTCCTAGAACAGTTGATAGAGTAAGACAAAGCAGAAAAAGAGAAAGGCCATAGAAGGAAAAGTTGAATTTATAATATCAGAAGATTGAATATAAATGAATGGGTTTAAACATTTGTCCTTAAAAAAAGAAATTTTAAGTTCAAAAGAAGGAAACAGAATATTCTGAGAAAGAGTTCAGAGTTCAGACCGCAAACAAAAGTAATATAATATAGGCCCCCAAATAAATTTGTAATGAGGTAAACCAAGACCATATCAAGAGATTGGAAAAATGATCATTGTATTCCTCAAAGGTTATAAACATATTCTCCAGTCTCCACCAAAGTCCAATGACACACCTCAGAAGCCACATCTACTAACTGGTTAAAAGTGAGAAAGAGCGATCATGAAAGAGTTTCTCTATAAAAGTGAAAACTATCTCCAAAGAGCTAGGCATTATCTGTAAGCTGAACAAAACATCAAATAATCCTCTTAAGAGATAAGAAAGAGGTAAATTTCCTCTAAAATCATGGCAAAGTAAAAGTTTTCCCACTTCAAAAAAACACTTAAACCTCACAATTCTCGTAGTGAACTTGCTTAAAAAATGTGAGTTCTAACTTCTATGGAGTGAAAAGGAATTGACAAATGGGCATACCCTTGCTAATGGCAGCTGAGAAAAGCATTTTTAAGGTCTGCTAAGATGGGACAGAAAATAAATATGCCATCTCTTTCAGCTTAAAAATTTGCCTTCACTATCCTCCTGCTAAATCTCTCAATTGCTTATGAGATATATATATATATATATATATATATATATAGGTAAATCAGCACCCATTGCCATCAGGACAGGAGTATTGCTATTTTGATATGAGTAAGGTGACCCATGTCAACATAATCTGACACGTTCTTTGTATTTTTCAATAAAAAACAACAAATTTAAAACCTCTAAAACAAACATTAGAATCATAAAAATGAGACTGATTGAAGGAAATCACTCCCCAATCAGCTGAATACTTCTTAAAGGAAAAGTAATCTCCGCTGCTAACAGAGATGTGTGAAAAAAAAAAGGGTTTAGAATTGAGATTCAGTATAGCTCCCCAATATCCTTAAGTTTCATTCAATTACTTTTTTGTTTCTTTCTTCTTCTTCTTCTTCTTTTCTTTTTCGTTTTTTTTTTTTTTTTATATCTCAAACAACAGTTGTTGATAACTATAGATTAAGCAATGTCAAAGAAGTGTCACATTGCCATTGCATCAATTTGATTGATTCCTTAACATATTCTTTAGTATCACTGAAATTTTAGATTCATTCACTCAAATCACGCAGGAAATTATGCCCTCCAAGAAAATTTCCTGTTGTCAACTGCTAACCATTCTTTTAACTCAATAGACAAAAGGGGGAAAAGGCATTTTATTTTACTTAACAAGAAAAACAGTGAAGCCATCGATGCTATATCTCAACCTTTCATTTTGTTTATTCATCTATATAAATCATAGAAATTTCTCAAAGTGGCAATAAAATATAGAAAACAAAATCCAAAGCTTCATTCAAAACCCAAACCCAAAACCTTAAACCTCCCGAACAAGTAGAAAAGAGAGAAACGAACCTCGGTTCATTAAAAACCAAGGGGCACCGAAAACGACGGCGATAATCGCTATGCCAGCCATCACGTGCTTCTTTTCACCGCTGTATATGTAGTGATCCATTCTCGCCCTCAATCCTCTCCCTCCTCCTACGTTGCTGCTGCTGGTGGCGTTGGTGTTAGAGGTTTTTGCTTCGTTTCCCATTCTGCCCCTAAAACCACCAATTAATTAATTACGTTTTGTTTTGTTTTTGCTTGCTTTGCTTTCTCCTTATATTCTGCGCTCTTTGGAGGCTTTGGTCATTCTCCTGGAGGAGCGTTTGGTTGCTAGGTTAGGATATCTCAGCCAAGTGCGACCTTATGCTGGATAAGTTGGATTTTGCTTCCTATTGAATTTCTTATTTGAAAATTAATATTCATCCGCATATTGTTTTAAATTTTACTCGTTTAGATCAACTTTAACCACCTTTCAGCGTGCCACATCATCATTTTCTTTTTCATCTTTTTTTTTTCCTTGCCACTAAATTGTTTGAAGAAAGGAAATCTGGTGAAAGAGCCTTATTATGTGAAAATAATAAATAGTTGGTGATTTATACTAAAAAAAGTTGATAGAAAAAAAAAGAAAAAAATCGAGAAGAAAGCTTTTGATGAAAGATAAAAATGATGATGATCGAGAGGGGCGAAGACAACAAAGAGCATGAAAAATATTTATTTTTACACTTTCTTTCTCTCTGCCTCGCGACTTCTCATCCTTTCCTTTCTAAAAAATTTTAAACTACTTTTTGATTTTTTGATTGCCACTATAGTTTCTACTTTTTATCATCCATCATGGAAGAGCATTTTTGCTTCACGCTTGAGTTCCAATGGTTCTTAATCGTTACAGCCATTAAGGAGTCAGTCAACTGTAGCCTATTCTTCGAAAGTGAAGGATCAGTATTCAACTTGATGGAAAAGTTTGTTGCCACATTGGAGGGAGATATTCGATTTGGTTTCCTAAATTTTTGTTGCTATTTTTGCTAGATCCTACCTGTTGGAGGCTATTTTCGATCGGATCCAACCTTTGGATCAAAATTTTTACCTGTTTTTTTAATGAAAGATGTTTAGTTTCTTTTTTTTTTTTTTTGGAATTAGTAAAGAATGATGATGTTAGAGGTTAACTTAATTTTCCGTTTGATTTTTTTCATTAATAATAATATTTTTAAAAGTATTGAAGAAATAGCAGGTTGCCTTGGTTGTTAATGGTAATAGTTTTGAGAGAATGATACTTTGAAAATGATAATATGATTTGAAGCAAAGGATAGATGCTCTCTTAAGGTAGAGAGTGTCTGTGCTGTATCTTAAGTGTTAACAATACCTGACTTCAACGTTTGAACATGATATTGAAACATTTAAATATTGAAGCCACTAAGTTTTTTCTTTTTTTTTTTTCGAATTTTGTTCTTTCATTATTTCATGTTGTGCATAGGAAGTTACCACTGCATAAGCCTCTCTAATGTATTTGTTTAATTGTTTGCATGTTACTCAAAAATATACTTTTAACACATTATAATTAATGTGATAATGTTCAAGTTCGAAAACTTATCTATTAGATATAAAAATATAGAGTCGTCATTAATAGTTTTTATATAAATATGATTGCTCACTTATATGAATTTATTTTTTTAAAGATTTTCATAAACTTGATTAAGGGTTTTTAAAAGAAATATATTCTGGTCTACATTAATAGATATATATATATATATATATGAGGTCTAAACAATCTTACAATGCCTAAAATTGATACTAAATTAATCACATGTTATCTTGTCTAAACCTTAATTAAAGATGATTTTTTTATTAATTTCAATGTTTAAATATTAAAAAAAAAGTTTTTTAAGCTTTTACCAAAAAAGAAATTTTCTTCATCTTAAAAGTATTCAAAATAAACTTGCTGTATACTTGAAGATATTTTATCATCAGATTTATTAAATATCTTATGACAAAAAAACTAATTTATTCATTTTTATTTATTTGCAAATATTAATTAAAAATAGTAATACAAACATATTTACAACTTTCTAATCATAAAATAATGTATTTACACTTTTTAAAAAAAATTCAATTCAAATTTTATTTTCATCAATTAAATTAATAAATCAATAGGTAAAATAATAAAAATAAATAAATAAATATAAATATACAAATAAATAAATCAGTAAAAAAATAACAAAACAAAATAATTTCATAAAAGAATTATTATCACAAATAACATCATAATAAATAAAAATAAAAGAAAATATACCTAATCAATACTCTTGGACCAACCCAAAATAAAACATATTAACAATTGCTTGTATGGCTCTTGTTTTGCTTTGTGATTCTTCTTGATAATTATTGATTGCTCAATCGCTTGTTGCCTTATTGAATTGTCGATTGTTCTTGTGATTTCCCCTTCAATTGCTTATTGATTTTCTTTCTCCCTCTGCACGATAGCTTTTCCCCCTAAACTCAAAGTTTTGTGTTTGCTCTATTTATTATGTCAATTGCTTCTTAATTCTAAGTTTGGGATTGAGCTCTTTATATAGGGATTGAATTTCTTTTCAATTTGAAAAGTTGTAATACCAACTAAATCTATCAACATCCTGTCAAAATTTATTTTCTTTTTTTGTAGAAACTTGATTGTCAAGAATTACCAAAATCAAACTCAACCTTTCACTTTCAAATATAAATAAAATTACAATCTTTAAAAAAATCACAAATTATGTTTTTATAAATAAAAATAAAAAACACTTTTGAGCCTTTAAATTTGGGCTTAAAAAATGGCTTTGAAAACCTAATACCAAAATGCAATTTGAGACCTAATAATATTGAAAAAACCCCAAACAAAATTGGATATTTATAGTTCTCCTTTTTACACATTTTTTGTAAAAAAAAAATTATATAAAAACAAAAAATATCCATTGTGTTCGAGTCAAGAAAAATCTAGAAGACTTCTCTTTAACAGAGGCTTTAAAACTTTGAAAATCTTAGTCAAAAAAGTTTTGAAAATTGATTTGAAAATTTTTTGCAAATTGAATCCTGAGGTTTTTGAAACTTGCGTTTAGTATAGCTTGCAAATGCATAGATCAAGTAATAATAATTGAGGTATTCTAGTATCATCTCCCAATTGATTATAGATTATAATTTTAGGTAGTTCACAATTACCAAAGGTAAGATCTTAGATTCCTATATCTAAACAAATGGAAACTTGGGTTTTGGTTGTAAAGAAAAAAAATGAAAGACTAAAAACAAGTGCAGGCTCAGATCTTAACTTCACCAACTGTCACTTGGGAAGTAAAAGAATTTAACCACAAACAAAATCTAAAAGAATAAAATTTGAAGACTTGAAAAATAAAGAAAACTTAAGAACAGAAAGAGAATGGGTTTGTCGAATTGCTTATAAAGGCTTGAAACAAAAGTTACATTAAAAAAAACTTGTAGATCATAAAAGATAATAGCTGAAACTTGTAAAGAGTAAAAGAATGCTACTGAAATCAAGGAAGGAAAAAAAATAATTAAAACTTGAACAATAAAAGAAAAGATCTTGGAAAAAATACTTCTTGTATTGAAATAAAAAAATTCAAAGAACAAAAGCTTTGTTATTGGCAAATTTGTCACCTAAGCTAATAATTAAACTAAAGAAATAAAAGAACTAAAGAACTAAGAATTAAAAGAGAGAAAAAACATGAGGAATGGGATTATGGAATAGGGTGAATGGCCACCCTATTTGTAGAGTGGAATTTGGCCAAGGGGTAAGATTTACAAAATGTGTTTCCAAGTTCAAACTCTAGGTGATAAGGCTTATCTTTATCTTCTAAAGAGGCATGACTAAATGGGATTTCTCTTGCTTGAGTGTGCTTGGCCTAATGGGGTCTTGAAAAAGTGATCGTGGCCTTTGATCAATTTGATAAATCTTTACTTTTAGATTTAGCTAAGGCTTGAGATTTCAAAAATAATTTGATTTCTCTTCAGTTATCTTGATAATTATCTTGAAAACTCATTCCTTTATTAAAACTTTTCATTGGATGAGCTAAAAAGTCCATCATGAGCGAAAACACTCTTGGTTGAATTAATCTAGTCTCTATTTTGGTGAAAATAGCATGAAGTCTTTCTTGAATGAAATCTGGGTCAAATGAAAGAGATAAGAATCCTTGTGCATGCTTAACTTAATAAAAAGAAGTTGTTCTTAGATAAAAACACCTTTGGCTGATCATGCAAGAGTCTATTGTAGCTTGAACTTCTTCAAATATCACAAGTATCCTTGATCTTCTCTTAGAAGTGAGCTAGTAAAATGTAGAGTCCTTATGCAAACATAATTTCTTTATGGCTAAGCAAAGGAGTCACACTTGAATTAAATCTCTTTTGGCTAAATATGAGAGAAAGTCCATGAGCAAATAGAACTTTATCTTAGTCGCATGTATGGATGAGTGTGGATCAAGGTGGTTCGGCTATGAGCTCCAAGATTAGGCTGAAAATGCTCATTGTATGTTTGCATGAAAATGAGCTTGAAACTTTAAAATCATGAAAATAACATAAAAGTACCAAAAATCATCCAAAATTTAAAATTTAGCACCATTTTTAGCATGCAAAAATACTATATAATTTGGTGTTGCCTCATACTTAACTCATTGCTTGTCCTTAAGCAAAATTTCAAATCAACAAAACTAAAGATCAGTAAATATACTCATAAGGTCAAAAATTACATACAATTCCTATAATGCATTATTGCATAATACAAAGCTAATAATAGACACAAAGTTACAAGAAATTCTTTCAAAAGCAAGCTCTCAATATCTTATGCTCATTATACATATACATCTACTCAATCTTTAATTCGTGCATATAACTCAAGTAAAAAGAATGTAAAATACTTCATCATATTTTAATTTAAAGATAATATGTTCACTTTCTCCATTATTTTTCATTAATGTTAGACTTACATACATGACTCAAGATCAAAAGGTCTTTTATGCTTGTAATGTAACATTTAAGTCAAGGTAGGAAAAAAAAATTTAGGCTTAAAAACCATAAGCTTACTTTCTTTGAATTTCTTAGACTTTGAACAATTGGGGGCTTTTTTTAAGACTTTGACTTGTGAGACATCATTTTATTCTTTGTATTTACGATATTTTTTTATAGCCATTTTCGGCTTTTATTAGGCTTTGCCTTTATTTTTGTCATTTTTTTCTTTTATTTCATTCTTTGCACTTTTCTTCTTCTAAAATTCATATAAATGTCCATAATACACAAGTAAGCATAATTGTGTTAGGTAAAACCAAAGAAAGGATAATACTTAAAGAAAATTATTATTGGCTTATTATGTGGCTAAATAAATAAAGAATAGAGAATAATATAGTAAGCTCAAAATATAAGTACTAAGGATGTATCATAACAATGTGGCTTAAAATAAAGCTCAAATGGTTCAAAAAACTGTCTAGATCATCTTTTGAGTCAAATATAGTCTAAGATTTCACCTTAAAGGTT